TTTGTTCAATGTCTTAAGGAGAGAAACACTGGGGATTTTGCTAGGAAGAGTTAAGTAATAAATGTCCAGATGGCTGTGTTCTGCCCTCTGAAGTGGAGGAAAGCAACAAACTCACTGGTATTGTGTCAACTCCAAATATTGCAACCTTGCATAAGATTTCTGAGATGATGAATCTTTATGAGCACAAACAGCCTCATCTTTATCTTGTGATGCAGCTGGTGGTTTTGAACCATGATGCAATGCTGAATCTATAGCAATGGAAATGACTACTGAGAGGGAAGCTGTTTATACAAGCCTTCCTTCAGTTACTTCCCATTTAAAGGCCCATGTCTACTACCACCTCCAATATATCCTACTGCTTATGTGCAGTGCTTCTCTAAGTGCTTATGGACAGATTTTCCTCTGCCTCCTCTACCAGGCCCTCACAGCCCATCCTCAGATGTGCCTTTCTCCACTCTCTCCACTCGTGAACATTCTACCAGCCACTTTCCACCTTCCCAAAATGTATTGATATCTTTCACCCAGTTGTGATTCTCCTGCATTCAGTTCATAATTGAAATTCATTATTTTTTTCTGTTTTATTCCTGTACTTTATTTTAGGGGCTCCCAGAAGGGACATTAAAAATATACCTTTGCTCAATCCACCATCTTTTCAGAAAGAAAGACAATACTTCTATTACTTTTATGATATGTAAAAATATGATTAAAATATAAATATAAACCAAAGCTCTCTTTTGTGCTTATCAGATTTTAAAAGTAATATATGGAAGCATTAAAACTGGTTTTATTAGTCAAAGGAGCTATCATATAGGTTTTAGTTAAAGTCTTTACTCAGGACTTCATTCATGACTTTTAAAGAATCAGAAGCTTCTAAACACAGTTCTACATTAATCAACTTCTTTTTGTTGCACTCCCTCTCCCTCTCTCCCTCTCTTTTTTTGCACCTTCTCTATACAAAAATGGGAGTTGGGCAGACTATCACAGAGAGTTGGTTATAAGGTTCTTTTCAGAGGGAATAGGAAGGGCAATCAGCTTTTCCCCCCTTGGCAATTGTAGAGTCATTTATGACTTTTTGTACAGCAGCCTCAATACCTTTTCGAAATATTAGATAGCGATCCACCTCTTTTCTCCTTCTACCTTCCCTCTGAGTCACTATCCACCCATAAGTACAGGTATTAATTAAACAGTACTGAGTAAGAGTTGAAAAGGTAGATATGCCTGTAAAAGTGCTAGGGAAACAGGCCTTACACTGTTCAGAAAGACAAGACAAGATTCAGTTTTGATTTTTTAAATAGAAACTATAAAATTGTAGACACTAAAGTTAAAACAATCCCTTCTATTTCCCTTTATCATTAGTTAATCCAGCCTCACTTCTTCCCTGGTGGGACTCCTCCTATAAGCTAGAAATTATTCAGATGCTATTCAAAAAGTTCTAGCGCCTGGGATCTCATTACTTTAGGAGCAGCCCATACTAATGTCGTGAGCAGTCCTTTGAAAAGTTTTTACTAAGAATTAAAATCTACTTTTCAGAAAGTTCCAACCATTGGTTCTAGCTCCAGTCTCTTACCTTAATCAGAATAAAGAACTTGAAATAATGGAAAAACTATGATGCAGAAACATATTCTTGAAATGTTTCAGTTCTGAATCCTAGCTGTGCCATTTACTAGGTACATGACCATAGGCCAGCTATTTAACAGCCAAGAGCCTCAACTTCCTTATCTGTTAAAAGAGGATAATAATAGCTACCTAAAATTGCTGTGGGAATTAAGTAAGATAACCAATCTAAAGCTCCTGACATGTCACAAGTGTTCGAAGAAATTAGTTCTCTCTCTCACTCCATTCCTCTTCCCCATAACAACCTTCCACATATTTGAATACAGGTGGTATAGCTCCTCCTATATTGTTCTCTCTCATGCCTTGAATATACAGTTTCCTCAACAATTTTTTCATGTGACTAGTCTGAGTTCCAGAACAGTTGTAGATCTTAACTTCAAAAATCCAGCCCCTTTCACAGTATGTGAAAGGAAGTCGATGCTAAGGGATGTTGACTGAAGCGAATTAAGACAACCTTCACATGCTAATCCCAAATCCCAAGATGAATCTTCTCCACTTCAGAAGAGTACTGAAAAATTATTGGTAGATAGAAATTATCGATATAGGCCTTCCCCGCCCCCAATAATATTCAGTTCTTATGCGTGCCTTTATCAGGAAGTATAGAACAAGGTTTTTGCTCAGAATTAATGTCTTGATGCTTTCATATAATCAACCCTGGCCCAATCCTCCATTACCTGTCTATATGTTTTACACTTGTTTCAACGAATCTGTTGTTATCTGTTTCTCACATAATTTAAAAAGCAAGTTGGTTTTTCTTTTAAAAATATTTAGGACAACAACCAAATTCTCCTGTTTATTAAATATCCCTACCAAGCAGAACCCATTTTCAGAACATAATCAAAACACTTGCCAGGTTAAACATTGTGTTATTATTATTATACCAAAAGAGGTGGGAGAAGCTGTTGAAGTGGCTGATACACAACCCTACATCTCATGGAGTTTGTTTTCTTACTTTCAAATTTTAGAGTATTCGTTTTAAGGGACATCCCAATCAACTGCACTAATATGGTTTCTGGTACTTGGCTCTACCTCCTACTTAACAGTAGCCATCCAAACTACAACAAATTGGTGCCCATTTACCTCAAGCAATGGGGGGAAAATAGTCAGGAATCAAAGGAGGAAATCAAATTTGTGTTTGGTTGCCTTCAAAACAACTGCCTCTTTTGACTTGAGACCAGAACTTGATGGTTCCCAGGGATCTTTACTGATTGCTTTGATCAAATTTTGTTTAAAAGAATCCTGACCTAAGGGAGAAAATAACTAAGAGAATTTCAAATTATTGTGGAATCCAGATTTTCTAGAGCCATGGAGGTTGGATAAACCCCTAAGACTAGTTTTTAAACCTAAATCTTAAGTCAAGAAAACCCCCTGGAGTCTTCTTAAAACCACAGTACAGTTCAGCTTAAGTGGTGAAAAAATGTCTATCTTGAGCAGAGTTCTCTTGTAAAGAACTATCTATGTAAGTTCAAATTGACCGCTGCCACTCAAAGGGTTGGATGGGAAGCTTGGGTAGCAGAAAAGTTTAAGATCATGGTAAGGGAATAATTGGGGGAAAAATAATGAAGATGGTAGCACAATTTGAAGAATATAGGAAATGTCACTGAATTAATTATATTTGTAGAAATTGTTGAAATAGTGTGTCTTTGGCTATGCTTGCTTTTACCACATTTAAATGATTTAAAAAATAGCCAGTGTAGCATCGCCTCAAAGTCATTGTTCCTGGGCCTTCCTGCTCGCCTTAATGGAGAGAGCAAAGCAACATAGAGACCTCCTGATCAGTTCCTCCGACTACAAAAGGGCCTTTTAAAAGCAGGTTGAAATCAGATTTTAACAATAGTACATCTTAGGTAATCAAGGTCCTGCACTTCCTGCAAGAAATTTCTTCTAATTCCACCTCCGGACAGCTGAACATTAGATCACCCGAATTAACTGGTGTCACCCGGCCACATGGGCCCTGAATTTTCAAACACATAATTGACACCCATTTGACAAGGCTGGGTCAAGTACAGTCCATCCTATGGGCAGAGGGAAGAATCAGATGACTAAAGTTTGTCACACAGACAGGTCATTGTATCCTGAGGTCAGAAAAATGAAAAGTCTCTCAAAACTATAACCTGTCAGAGCCAGTCCATGAGACAAGACCCCCTTCTCTTTCCTCTGGATGAATCTGAAGCTGAGATTTATCTCAAGACATGGAAAGGCGGAAATACAAGGAAGACAGCCTGGCAGCAGAGTGGGAGGAACGACTGGACATGGTGGTGATGAATCAGGTCATTAGCCTCCGGGGGTGTCTCCTTCCTAACACTTGCAATTAGAGACACAATAAAAGGTTCCACAGCCTACTGTCAGCACCCAGCCCAGAGCTCCACATTCCATTTGCTCTCACTCCTGAACAAGGTAAGTCTCATAGATGCTTTGTTTGAGCATGCTTATGACCTCGGCTGCTGTTTTGCTTCTAAGTAAGACTAGAGAAAGATTTGGGAAGAAGCCCAGGACCATCGTAGATCTATCCCTATTAATGATATCCAACGGGGATCTCGCCCAAATGCATTCCTTGCTTAGGAAACTTCTTTGGCATTTTCTATTTTAAAGAAACATAAACCATTTGGATGATATCTATTTAACAAGATCAAGGACTCAGACCTACATTAAAATGAAAATGTGGAGGCACTTAAATGATAGGTAAAATCTGAGGAGCCAAGACTGTTTTCTCAGTGAGTTCATTGATAAAACAAGCTGTTTTGCTTGCATAAACTCGGTCAATTTTTGTGGGTTGCTTTTCTTTCCTCTAGCATCTTTCCTAACATTGAATTATCCTTTCCAAGAGAAAGAAGATAGACTAAATCAAGTGAGAGGAAGCAAGTGGACAGTCTCGGGTGAGATAGGAAACATTGGCCCCAGCTGTTGGTGTCATGTGTGCATTCCAGTCCCTGCTCTAGAGTTCTTTTGACAGACGCCTTCTTTTGGAACAAAGGGAGAAAGAGGGGTCTTTTTACTCCTGTAAGAAGTTACAGTCTCAGAAACTCACAGGATCACTTCTACTCTGTCCTATACGGTCACTATGAGTCAACATGGACTCTATGTTAGTGAGTTTAGTTTTGAGTTTTGCAATTAAACTTTCTCTAAACACATAAACTTCCTTGCTTCCCAAGGTCAAGTTAAGTGTCTCTTTTAATGCCTGTATGTGCTATATCTGATCTCCCTGCAAAGCGAGATTAAATCTGAAGTTCTGATACAATATTTTAAGCTACTGAATAGAACAGGTGATGGGAGTGGAACTGCAGAAGGGTTTGAAAGAAAAAGAATCTTGATATTTCCTTCCTAAAGGACACATACTGCAAAATGAATTTTGTTTGTTCCTCCTCAGTCTCCCCTGAGTTCTAGAGATGCCACGACTCCTGAGAAGTGTCCTCTGTGTCATCGAGACCTTCCATAAGTATGCCAGGGAGGATGCTGATGGGGAGACACTGACCTACAGAGAACTGAAACAGCTTCTCCAAGGCGAGTTTGGGGACATCCTTCAGGTGAGGTGCTCCTGCTGTGGTAGACATCCTTTTCCACTGGCCCTTTCTCCAGAATTCAAGTAAGGTAATAAGTGAGTTCTACTCATGTATCTTGGAAGCTCTTGGCTACCAGCTCTTATGACTAATTGGCTTTTGAGCAGTTTTTTTCTGTCTCAGTTTATTACTCTACACAATTGCTTAGTTGATCTTACAGGGGTGAAAATAGCTTTTCCTCACTGAAACTTTAGCAACATGGAATTTTTAAAGCTGCCTGAGCCATTATACATCCAATGCAACTCACAAGCAGTGTAAGTGCTCCTTTGATAGCCAGAGCTCTCCATATTTGTGTCCTAGGGCTGCCATAACAAATTACCACAAATTGCTTGGCTTAAAACAACTAAAATATATTCATTCTCTCACTGTTCTGGAGGTAATTGGTCTGAAAGTAAGGTCCCAATAGGACGATTCTCCTCTGAAGGCTCTCAGGAAAAACCCTTCCTTGCTTCTTCCAGCTTCTGGTGATGATCCTTGACATCTTTGTGCTTGTGGCTACATCACTCCAATTTCTATTCCTGTCTCCACATGATTGTCTTCCCTCTCCTAGCTTTCTTAAATGCATATCAGTCTCTTGATTTAGGACCCTCCCAAATCTAGTTTCACTTCAGCAAAAATAATCTTTAAAGACTACATTTCTAAGTAATATCATATTCTGAGGTTCTAGGTGGGTATGAAGCTTTGTTGGGAAGCTATTCAACCCAATATGCTATCTGGTGTGTGTGTGTATATATGTCATTCATATATAACTATACATATAATATTATATTTATATATGAATGACATATATATATATGAATGATATATATATCATTCAGAACCAATGAACTTTTACCACTATGGAAATTTTCTAAGAAATTAGGTCACGAAATTATTTTGAAGACAATTATTTAAAACTCCAAACACTATTCTTTTTACTAGCCAGGTGCTATCTAATTTCTTCACCACACTTTGCTACAGCACCCATATTTCCAGTGATCTTTTCATGAAGGTGAGCATCAAGTAGGGCTATGTCATAAGAACTAATTGTTCCTAGATTGTGGCTAGAATTATGTGTGAATATAAATCCATTCATATATCTATGATTCATATATGTCTGGTTCACTTTAGAGACATCATTATCACTTCATATTAGAGAACATTATCAATCATTCTCCTAGAGCATAAGGTAATTCTATTGATAGTGTTATTAATTTAGCCACTGGTATTTTTAAAACATCATTGATAAAAGGACCTTATACAAGTGTAGGCTAGCTACAATAGTAATACATGAATTGTTGACTCTACAGATTAAACTCTTAAGTGACTAGACACTATTTATACAAATAATGAGGTTTGATGACAGAGAAAAGGTTTTAAAAACATTCATTCACAATGGTAGAACCAGGCATTTCAAATTAATACATGCCACAAGAAAGCAAGGTGACATGAAAACAGGAATGTGATAGATGCAGACTACCAATCATTGGGCACCCTCAAGGTAAGAGATACACACCGAAGTCCAACGATCACCACTTCTATAACCTCGGCATAGTATTCATCTGGTTCTGAAACACCAGAGAGTTTCAGCCTTAAGATCAAGAATTATGGGTGAGTTTGAGGTGTAACTAAGCCCACGTGGAAGAAGTACACCAGCTCTGTGATCCAAGAATTAGAAAAAATAAATTGCAAATCTGAAGGAGGGAATGGTATCACAGTTTAAATTGTTAACACCTAGTTTGCAGAAGGCCATGGATGACAGTGGGACCCAAAAACCATTCAAAGGGTCCACACATGGACCCTTTAAGCCTCCAGTGAATCCTTTCTAACTATAGAACAGGGATATGCATAGCCTTGTTATCATACAGAATGTAGTGGGAGTTTGGGAGTTGTGTTTTTTATGGGGGAGGGGGCTCTTTTTTTTCTGGGTTCTTTTGTATATGAAACCCAGGATGGGTAAAGCTATAGAGACTGCGACTGTATTGATAGCTTCTTGGGTGATATGGCAGGGGAAATTGAGAGGGAAAAGGAGAAAATGGGGAGCTGATAACAATGAGTACATGAAAGAAATAAACGTTCTAAAATTGATTGTTGAGATGATTGTTTAATGCTTTTTAATATGATTGAACTATTAAATTGAAGGAGACATGAAATATAAGCCAATAAAACAGTAAAACAATAATTTTAAAGAAAATTAATAGTGAAAGGCAGACACTTCATCACTTTACCACACATGAGTGATATGATTTCCCATTGTGTTTTCATGCAGCCACATGTCATTCATGCTGTGAAGAAAACCATGCACATTCTGGATATTGGCAACAACAGCAGCATCCGTTTTGATGAATTTGTCCTTGCAATCTGCAACTTGTTGAACTATTGTTATCTTGACATACAATCCTTAAATTTAGGAAGACAGACAATTCAGCCAGAGAAGGAAAAGGCAGATGATGTGGATCCTCAAACCACCAGTAGAAATGGTCAGCAAACAGAGGACATGCCACTGACCCAAGACAGAGTGGTGCTTCCTTCAGGAATGGTGCCATCACCTCGACTCAACCTAGAAGAAAGGGGACAAGCTGAAAACAATAGGGTGGGCCCACAGGAAGACTCCAAGACTCCTAAACTGTCAAGAGAATCATCTGAACACACTGACTCTAAGAACCAACATCTGGCAGCAGATGAACAGGACCAGGACATAGTCCAGGATATGCAAGCGGTAGGAGACAACAGGGTCCACTTTGAAATAAGCAAGGCAAGGACAGCATCACAACAGACCAGTGGTCCCAGAGAGCATGAGGAACCGGACAAGGAGATTCCCAGAGAGGGAGATAAACCAGCCTGGGAACAAAGTGCCATGATAGCAAGAGGCCTTTTGGAAGAACAGAAAGGGAACTTGAGAGCCCAGAGTGCCTCAGCCGAAGAAAGAGTACAGAGTCCATCTGAAGATCATAAAGTTGCCATTGAAAATGATGTTAAGGAACATTCTGAAATACAAGAACCATCCCTGCAAGCAGAAAATGAGTTCAGTTCAGAGCATGCTGATCGGCTAGAACAAACTGTTAAAGGTAAACCATCTCAGACACAGAAACCAACTGTTGCCGAGGATGATGGCAGAACATCAGAGCTTCAAGAACCAGGAAAAGATACTGACAGGAAAAGATATGAGTCAGAGAACTCAACCACCGCTGTGTTTGATGGTAAAGCATTTGAGGTCCAAGAGCTGGGAAAGGGTGATGCTGACCAGATACCACCAGAGACAAAGCATTCAGCTGAGCCTGACGAGGATGGTAGAACATCTGAAACCCAAGAGCCACCAGCACAGGAAACCAAGAGCTTGGAAGTCCAAGAGGAGCAAAATGTTTCAGGAATACTTGATATTAAAACTGAAAGGAAACTGGGGAGAAATCATGAGTCTCAGGGAACAACAGGGCAGAAAGAAAGGGAGAGAAGATTCCAGACACCAGCCCTAGAAGTACAAATACAGGACAGGAAGTCTCAGGAACTCCAGGGACCATCACAAGAAAGGGATGCTTCAAAAGGGTCTGAGACACAGAATCAAGGGTCTGAAGGAACAGATGGGTGTCTTCCTGAAGTTGAAGGAATGGTAGTCCCAGGTGGAGATGTAAGCGACAATGAAAGAGGCCAAGCAGAAGCAGTTGCAGGCAGCAAAAATGCTCCAATAGCAAAAGGAACACCAGCAGCCAGAGCAGGTGCACAGACGTCCACACCACTTGAAAGCCAGTCTAAGGGGAAAAGGGATAGGGTCGCCAAGAGTCAGGACAAACCAATGACAAAGGAAAACAGCTATGAGGGGGAAGAACCTGCACCGCCAGCCACGCAGAATGGTGAAGGGGCCTCTGAAACTGCCAATCGCCCAGCGCCAGAGGAATGGAAGAGCAGCTCGGAAGCAGGTCCCCTGCCTGCCCCAGTGTATGCCCAGGGTTGGGTAGACCCACAGGGAGAGTTGACACACGGAAGTCGCAATAATGATCCAGATGCCCAGACACAGGCAGTGGTGAGTGAGGAATGCGGAATCCAGGAGACCGTGGTGCTGGTGGTGGTCAGGGGAGAGGCAGAGCAGCTCACAGAGGAACCCCACCAGTCTCCTAGAGAAAACAAGAGCCAGGGCTCAGGGAGCAGAGGGCCAGGCCCAGCTGTGGAGCTTAATGAACACGCAGGGGCACAGCAGCCTGGAGCAGGTGGTGAAAACAGCAAATCTGAGGCGACCGAGATTCCAGGAGCCCTGGATGCAGACTCCAATGGCCACCTTGCCAGAGAACAAGAACTTGCCACGGGAGATGGCAAGAAAAAACGGAAGGCTCAGGGCCCAGGTACCAAAGAAGAGGAAGGTGGAGCACAAGAGACCCAGGAGACTTCATTTAAAAGTGTGGAAAGGGGTGATTCAGCCTTTGCTGATGCACACTCTGAGACAGAGGAAACGGCAACATCACAGGAAGAGGATGAGAGTCTTGAGGAAGTGGCAGAGCATGATGGCCAACAACATCCAGCGAAGACAGGGCATTACCCTCCAGTCCTTCCGGCAGGCCTGGACGAGACGCAGAGAGGCCAACAGCCCTGTTCGGTGAAGAAGGGTTCAGTCCATCCTAGTTCACTATACAAGAGTGTTCAGGAAGAGAGTCCACAACAAGCAGACATAAGCCGAGAGAAGCAACAAAAACGAGCTAGGCCAGCCAGAGCCTCCAGCCTAGAGCTCAGAACCAACCAGTCAAGGGTGTCGCTCGCCAGCGAGATAACTAACGGTCTTGCCGTTGTTGACCACAGGCAAGCATTACAAGAGCACAACTGTTGATGGGGCTCCTGCTGACCCAGAGCAGACATCAGTGGTCCAGGCCCAGGAAGACAAGCAAGGTCACCCTCAGAGGGAAGAAGCAATGCCACAGAGAGGAGAGCATCACAAAGCAATGAACCATTATTGTTATTCTAAGAGAAGGACCTTCGGACACCTCAACATGCCCCAGGTTTATTTCCTTCCAGCCACCCCTAAGCTCATAAAGCATGCAGATGCAAATTGATAATCCTTGCAATTCCCTTCCTGAACTTCTACGAAAGAAAATAAAGTACTCAACATTAAACACTACCACCAAAGAAGTGTCAGATCAAATGCATCCAATCAGTAGAAGTCCTGCTACATGATCCTACTTCCAAATGCTTTCCAAACGGTCTTTCCAAATGGACTTTCTTTTAAGACAATGTCAACTTCTCCCTAAAAGTAGAAGAAAAAATATATATAACTTCCATATCTTCAGCAGATACCAAATTTTTCACTTGATTAACTGGCATCAAAAATGTGGGAATAGGAGGTTATGATACCCTGTGTTATTACCTTATAATAAAAAGTAGCATTCATTCAGAAACACAGCTAGCCTGACCCCTTTTTTTTCGCAGCACATATAGTTTATTTTTGTTGTTGTTGTTGTTTTTGCTCACAATTCAGTGTTTAATACTCAACTCCAGCCTGATGCTTAGTAGGTGTTTCATATATATTAGATGGATGAATGAATGACTCTTTAAGAGAACTATCTCCCGGCAAACTCTTCCTTTTGGTAGTCTGTTATGCATGTAGGTGAACCAGTCTTGCTCTCTGGATATAGGCAATAGACACCTAGGCAAATCAGCAACTCAGGATGATCAGAGGAAGGATGTATTCTTCAGGAAGCTCACAAACATCTACAGAGCCTGGGCAGGCTGGTACTGGGGCACCATGTGTCCTGAGCCCTTGACGGTGAGGAATGTGATCTTGTATTTTTTTAAATCATTTTATTAGGGGCTCATAAACTCATCACAATCCATACATACATCAATAGTATAAAGCATATTTGTACATTCGTTACCCTCATCATTCTCAAAACATTTGCTCTCCACGTAAGCCCCTGGCATCAGCTCATTTTCCCCCTCCCTCAACACTTCCCCCTCCCTGAAGAACCCTTGATAATTTATAAATTATTATTTTGTCATATCTTACACTGTCCGACGTCTCCCTTTACCTACTTTTCT